TTCTCTCTAAACCTCTGGAAAGGGATCAATATTTTCCACCGGCTAAAAACCGCCTCCTGCATAGACCACCCTTCAACAGTCGTAAGACATTGTCTCTATTTATTTGGGGAAAAATTAGTTATTTTTTGGTGATTGGGATTCCCTTTTGTGCACATAAATTAATAGATGGAGATTTGAATTTCGTAGAGTTCTAAATATTTCTGGATTTTCCTCATCAATGTGAAGAAAGGATTGGTGTGTCGGATTGGCCTTGGTATCTCATCTATATGGCTTGATTGATGACTGTATGTATGCCTTGACAATTCAACTGACAGTCCCTGGCAGTTGTATCTGTTGTTATCGACAGTTTTTTAGTAGCATTAAACTGTTGAGAAAAATGTATGGAATGTCGAAAATCATTTATAAACTTTTGAGTAAAACATATTGATGATATGGATTTCATTTCTATTTCTGTTGAAAATAATTAAATTGCTTTATGTTATTTTTTTCTCTTTTTCATATGAAATGTTTCCAATGGTGATGATGCAGATGGGGCACGAAGATGTAAGTCTGCAGGAACAACGTCTTCACATGCAAATACCGCATTCAAATTTCGTATCCAGTTCACGAAGACTGAATGAATCACCCATTCAATTTCCCAACATGAATGAAATGGCTCCACCAACATCTTCCCTTATGCATGTTCTCGCACTATCTCCACCATTGTCACCAGTTCATGACCCAATTGATTTGTCATCTGCTTCGGAGTACTCATCTGAGTCGGAAAATGATATACCAAACCTGCAACCGCATCCACCAGTTATGATGATAAGCTCTGATGAGGAGATGGACGGCTATAGTACTGCCGAGTCTCGAGTTGACAACGATTAGCATGTATTATGGTATATATGTGTGAAATGCATTACTTAAGATAAATCGTAATATTTACTAGATGTTCAGCATGATATGAACCAAATTTGCAGATTTTGGTTTGAAATAATAGGTGCTTACATTATATTAAATTACATGTATCCCATCCAAACATTTAAACTACAATGCCGACATGAGTATGATATGTTCTTGGCTACTTGTAAATGTTTGGGTCGACATTTGAAATGTCATTCTAGATAGC